AGTGGACATCTGGCTCCAGAGTTCCTTTCTCATGATACTTCATCCTGTCTGATCTTTATTTCCTGGTGTGACAATTCCCAATTACACCTTAAATGTTTCCTTCTCTGTCTAAAATCAAAAATTTCTTCAGGAAACCCTCTGTTAGGAGCTTTGCATCACTGTTACCAAAACATCTAATAGGGCAGCATAGGGAGGAATGATTTTCTTAGCTCCATTTTAGATAGCTGAGTCCTTTGTCACGGGGCCACATACACCTAGAAGTAACAACCTGACAACGGGCCAACATGAAAGGGAAGCAGAGAAAAGCGATATCAGGTAAGGGTCCAGGTGAGGATTATCCCAAAGGACCACTCCGAGGGACCTACTCCTCCTACCTCTCACTGCCTCCCAATAGTGCTATCATGTTATGAATCCATTTAATCCATTGATTAGGCCAGAGGTCTCACATCCCAACTGCCTCTGTGAGTACCTTCTCTGGCATTGCCAAAAACACATCTTATTAATGTCCAGTCAAAATTAGCCACCATAATCCTAAAACTTGTTTTTGGAAGCAAATATGTTACTTGTGTGATTTATAATTCATTGCTTTATCTTTCCTATAATATGACTTAAACAAATGCAGATATCGTTTTACTCCACTTATTTGTCAAGGTTCAGTACTCCCCAAACTGACTCCAGACCAAAACACATCCTGCCTAATAGTGCACATGGCCAGACTGATTGATTCCAGTGAGCTTCATTCTGTCTGTTTGCTTCTCCTTTGTGAATGTTAGTACCTAAGTGTCACATGACTACAAATTCTTCTGATACCCAGAAGACAGCAAAGAAACATTCATAAAAGCTTCTTTAAAATACACAGTATAGAACCCACTGGGTTGCTACCTGCCTTGGGGGCATCTCACTCCAATCTCCCTTTAGAGTGATTTCTTTGCTTGCTTTGGTAAATAAACTTCTGCTTAAATTGTCCAAGTATATTGATCAAATTCTTACTTTAACAGGACAAGAATTTGGAGATCCCACCCCCAAATGCTTCAATTTATATTTGCCTCCCTTGATTATAAAAATTGCTAATATTTCCTAGAAAAATAAGACCACATAACCCCTATACAAGCAAAACATATTCCATACCACAGCCTCAGTGAAAATTAGTTGAATTGGATGTATAGATCTATGTCTCTTAGCTCTGGACAAGAATCATTAACTACATGTTTCTTTCAGTTTTTGTAAAGTACAATTTGCCAAGTTCTATTCATGAGTCATGGACTCTCCAGAAGTGATCACCAAGATCTAAATTAAATAATAAAGCATGTCTCTATGATACAGGAATTGTGAGCCACTAACCAAAACACACAGCCACCCTGCATAATCACAGCTATCCTGGGAACCTGCATACACTAAGCACAAATCAACACACTCAGAGTTTTTCCCCTAAGAGTTTCCCCTTATTTGTTTGAGGTGGTACAAATCTGCTGGTGAAACCAGAAGGAAACCTTAGCTAGTCATTTTATCTTTCCTGATGGGTTTCTTCAGGGAAAACATAAGAACAGTGGAGAGCGGGCTTTCCCCTTAGAAAAGAACTGGTTGCATCTTAGGGTTAATTACTCTTTTCATGTTACAGTTATCACCATGAAGGAGAAAACTGGCTTGGTTATCCTCTAGCTCAGTGGTTCTCACCTGTGGGTCACAACCAAAAAAAAAAAAAAAAAAGAAGAACAAAACAAAACCCACTGATATTGTTACAATTCATGGCAGTAACAAAATTACAGTTTTGAAGTAGCAATGAAAATAATTTTATGGTTGAGGGGGTCACCACAACATGAGGTTCACAGCATTGAGAAGGCTGAGAACCACTGCTCTAGCCCAGAGCTCTGCCTGCCATTAACAAAGCAACTACTTCCTTTTTCTAATCCTAGAATTGCCCTAGGGTGATAATAGCAAGTCCTTCTGGTCCATCTGAGGGCTCTCAACCTCAGGTAGGATACTGTGTGGGCCAAAGGCAGTTCATAGCAGTGCTCAGTCTTACATGGACTTGTGGTCCTGTGCACTCCAGGAGAGCTCACTGGATGTGGTATAAATAAAGCCAAGGTGGAGTCCTTGACATCTAGTCTCAAACAAATGGCCTAATAACACTTTACAAAACTCTGAAAAATAAAAATTGATCTCACTGAACTTGCTGAATTTAAGGACAATGACTATTCTCTTTCTCAGATATTTTGTCTCAGAAATCACACCCAGCATGAACTGAGCAAGGTGGAGGCTAAGAAAGGATTATCTCCTCTTCCCAAGTAACTTTAAATGAGCTCTTTTGCTTGATTCTTCTTGATTTTCCAACAATAAAAAGAGGCAATAGGTGGGTAGAAAGGCTGGGGGTAAGGTTCCCCTGAGATAGCAGCACAATTGGCTTCCTCTGTGTCTGCCTTGTCACTCTTATCCCCAGGGCCAAAGGGCCAGAGATGGTTTAATTGGTGTCCTGGTGGACAGGGATGGCCATGGACTTTACAGAAATAAGGCTTAGGGTTGCATCATTGTGCAACTCCACATGCTTCTAGACATTCCTTGTGCTTTTCCTCACAGTGCAAGCCAGAGGCAAAGACTGGAAAAGATCGCCTTGGCACAACTAGAGGTCGGTCATCATAGTAATTGCATACAAAAAATAAGCCCAGAAGATCTCCAACAATGTCAAGCAGCAAGCAAACATAAACACACAGGTAAAGACACACACACACACACACACACACACACACACAGAGAGAGAGAGAGAGAGAGAGAGAGAGAGAGAGCACCTGTATCAATGTCCTGTTCTCTCTAGGGCTCCCTATAGCATGTCTGGCTTTTTCCCTGTGAAGCAGAGCAAAAAAATCTGTTGAGGCACAAGGATTTGAAGGAACCCATGAGCATGAATATGAGTGGCCTAAAAAGAGGCTGGAAGGCTATTACTTCAGAGTCCTATACTAATGCCAATCATATACCAGACATAGTGGCACATGCCTTTAATTCCAGCAGTCAGGAAGCAGAGGCAGGCTGATCTCTGTGAGTTCAAGGCCAGCCTGGCCTACATAGTGAATTCCAGGACAGCCAGGGCTACATAGTGAAACCCTATCTCAAAACAAAACAAACACGGTGGAATGAGCCCCCAAATCAGGGATCAATCATCTATGTCAGATAATTTTATGTCAACTTGACACAAACTAAAATCATTTGGGAGGAAAGAACCTCAATTAAGAAAATGCCTCCATAAGACCAGGCTGTGGGCAAGCCTATAGGGTATTTTCTTGGTGTATTGAAGATATTGATGATGGAGGGAGCAGTCCATTGTGGGTGGTGCCATCCCTGGGCTTGTGGTTGTAGGTTTTGTAAGACAGCAGGCTGAGTAAGCCATGGGAAGCAAGCCAGTAAGTGGCACCCCTCCATGGCCTTTGCATCAGCCCCTGCTTCCAGGTTCCTGCCCTTTCTTGAGTTCCTGTCCTGACTTCTTCCAATGGTGAATAGCAATGTAGATATATAAGCCAAATAAACCCTTCCTCAACTTGCTTTTTGGCCATGGTATTTCATCATAGCAATAGTAACCCTAACTAAGACACCATCATAGGACCCTTGCTTTAAACACCACAGTGAAGACAGCAGTCCTTTTAGTAAATGACAGCCTGGACAATGGCAGCTTATTATACACATGACTGTGCTGATTGTTAATATTGGCTGTCAAGCCTAATTATTACATTTAAAGAAGTGAGCTTCTGTTTGACTCTATAGCTCCTCCGAAGCTCACAGGTGGCTCATGGGCCCTGAGAGAGGAAGGTATAAAAAGTGTCAAGTAATGTGTCACACTTTTGAATCAGAGCCCTCGTCAGTCCACAGAGAATGGAACTGTATTTAAATAACAATGAGGGGTAGGAACCCACCTGAAAGAGACCCAGCAGCAAAGGAATCCAAGATATCTATGATGTCTTGCCTTAGCCTCTAGGTAAGCAAATGCCTGTCTAAGAGGCTCTAGATGAATGATTCCAGAATCCACCTCAGACAAGAACAGAGATCCTAGCATTTACCATCCCAGGCCCTCAGCACCAGAAACAAACCTTCTCCACAGAGAAACCACGTGGGCTGGTAAGTTGTTTCAAGGATTGATTGCCAACTTTCATTGCAGAAGAGAAACATAAAGCCTAGTCCCTGCCTTTAAGTAACTTGTAGTCCAGTGAAGATGCTGAGAAAAAGGAAGTGCCAAGGTTGAAGACATTGGCCCCTGGAAAGTGGAGTCAGGGAAGTAGAGTGGGAACGCCTTCTTAGGGGCTGGCTACAGCTTCCCCTACTGGAATTGTGCTTGATTTGAACTTAAAACATCTTGGTCCTGGGCTCCTCGATACTATTACTGGGCACGATAAGCAAACTACTTAACCTTCCCAAGCACCCTTACTTCTTTTGCCTCTTTTTAAAAGTAGCAGATATCACGATTCAATATTGATTATGTCACTTCTCTCTGCACTAGACTTACAAGAGAAAGGATCCAGGTTTAAATTCTTTTATTATTGTTGTCACTATTTTGAGACAGTAGTTTCACTATGTAGCCTTAGCTGGCCTGAAATTAGCCATATAAACTAGGCTGGCCTAACTTTGTGTGCCTCTCGAGTACTGGGATTACAGTCCCGCACTACCACATTCATCCAGTTTCAAATTGGATGAACAAAAAGCCCAGGTTGGAAAGGTAAATCCTTAGAGAGCAGGCTTGAGAAGGTCCCGCAGTGCTTCCTGCACTGGACAGCTGTGGGTAGAGGGAGACACCTTCCAGACTGCAAGAGTAACATGAGCAGCAGTTGAGGTGACAGAAGACCTTAGCTTTTTTACAGAGACAGAGGGTTGGGGGAGGGGCTATGAGAAATGCAACAGGTACTGAGAGTAGACCAGAATTATGAGAAGCATTCAAAGATGGCCTTCGTTTCTCTGATATTATGGTTACACGGTGTTATTTTATTTGAGGGAAGAATAAAGAAAGAATGCTTGCTGCTCACCCAAACATCAGGGCATTCTGTCCCTCTGTGACTGTGCTTCATGAAAATGCTTCCCTGCAAGAAAAAAGAGAAAGAATGATTAAGGAGAAAAAAATAACTAGAGCCACATTCATTTTAGCTCCTCTGAAAGCACAGCAGGAGGAAGTGGCTGTGTTTGCCAAACTCCAGAAAAAGACACAATTGACAGGAGGCGGGGAAGGGAGGGTGAGGCAGCAGAGGGCATGAAGAGGAGGAGGGGTCCCTCTTGTTTTATTCTCCCCAGAAGATACAGTAAATAATGAAGAGGTGTGGCTAATGGAGGGGAGTAATTTCTTTTCAGGGAGGCCCTTTAAGGGAGGAAAATGGAACTAAACCATTATTCTTGTTCTCTCATTCAACTCCCTGTTTACATGGGAGCTCCCTGGAGGTGATGCTCCTCTCTACTATTAAAAGTCCTGGGAGATCATCATTTCAAAATAGTGGCCTGAAGTTCTGACACTGTAGTGATTAACACGAAATAATCATTATTAGCCTCGCCTACAACTGCACGAGGGCCACCAGGCTGCCCGGCTTTTCTGGAGCCAGAAAAAAAAACTCAGTTGGGCCACTAGGTGGCGTGATGTCAGGGAGCCCACTGAGGTTCTCTGCATCTTCTCTGGTCCAGGGTGTGCACCATCCTCTCAAGATCCAGGGCTGGACCTCAGTCATCCCAGGACTCATGCCACAAGGCTAAAACAGGAATTCCAAAGAGAGGGCCGGGCTGCTCAGAAGGGGTGTGGGATGAGGAGAGAAAGTGTATGTTACTGGATGGCCCTTCAAACATAGACCAGTATTGTCAGCAGAATGGATCGAAGGAGCTGCTGCCTCCTATGACTCAGGAAGATTCATAGCGATGGTGCCTGGTGCAGGAGTGTTTATCAAAGGCAGGAGGCGAGAGGAATCACACGACTAGAGAGGATTCTGAAACAAGACCCTATTTTTCAGCTCTGCCCTTGCTTAGAGAGCAAAGGAAGACCTTCTGAGTATTTGGCATACTTTCTCTGTTCCCCATGAAGAGGCTAAGGTCATGGCCAAGTAGGAGCATGGAGTCACAGTCCTAGATTTTGGGACAGTGTCAGGAGGAAAGAGACTTGTGCAAGGTCACACAGACGATGGTAAAGTTAAGAACCACATCCTAGCCTCCTAGCTCTCAATCTAGAGTCGCTAAACTTTTTTTCTTTCCCAGTTCACTCTTTTCCTTGCAACTTGTGTTGATTTTTGAGTCAATAAACAGAGCTACTACAACAAGGGGAGCAAAAGGAGGAAAGCCATATGGGGAAGAATGGAAATAGAATTGCCTTTCCTGATCTTTCTTACCACCTCTCTAGCACTCAGAATCTCCTACAAGAGACCATTTCACAGAAGGACTAGTCCTGAGCTGGATATTTAACTGGTAAAGAGGGGAGGCTTAAGTCTGAACTTTTCTAGGTACCCACAAAACCTGAGAATGTGGCAACAAGTAACATATCAATTAACTATTTTATACTGGCAGTGATGATGGGCTTGCTTCTCTCTTGCCAAGAACTTGGACCACTTCTGGTTTTTTTTTTTTTTTTTTTTTTTTTTTTTTTTTTTATATAATTACCCCCTTTT